CTCGAACTTCAGGAATACTTTAATAACCTCAGAAAATTAAGATTAAAATCTTTAAAATAGGAGTTATTTTCCTGCTGCAAAAATAATTGGAAGGGCTGATGGGACATTCTCCATTGGTGGTCTTGAAACGCAGCAATAGCATTTACGGGTGAGACTTCTCTTTCCTGAAGGTTAAGGATCCATCTGCCCAGAGCGACTGTAGGCACTTGTCATCAAAGAAAAGGGACTTTGCTGGACTAAGTAGACTTTATGGCACAAAAGTGAGATTTCAATCTATTAGGTAAAAGCTTCAGTAATACTCCATCCAATGCCATGGGTACAGATAGCTTGGAAATGCTTCCATCTGTTTGGATTTTTGCAGAACATAAACACAAGAAGATTCACCCAAGGCATCTCCTCGTCATAAGAAGGGCTCAGATCAAAGCAAAACAGAAAGATCTCTTGGTCTAAAATAAACTCAGCAGCTACTTGGGGAAAAAGGGTTATTTGTTATACCCTTGATCAAAGTAAGAGACTAGGAACTGAGGGCAATGGAACAGATCAGCCACATCCTGAAAGATTGGTAAGGAACAGCATTATGAAGAAAACCACTACGAACGAATGTCAGCTGTGGGACAAGAGCTTCTGTGCCATGCCCCTGCAATCCCCAAGTGCCTGCCCATGATTATTTCGGCTAAAGCAGTGCTGGGACACAGGGAGCAACCAACTTCTCTGCAATACCCTGCCCCGTGTATGCACAGGAGGTGCGCAAAGGGGACGCCTGGTGTCAAGAGGAAGAAACATGGGCAGTGGAGATGGCCTTGGGTCAGTGCTGACTAAACTCATAGCTATGGACTGGCATGAAGGATTTCTTCCGCATTAATCCACGGTGCTCATGCTCCTCATGCTGTAGGTAGGAAACTCGACATCAGATGCATGTGGATTTTTAAAGTAGTAACTGCTCCCCTGGATGCCACCAATCCCAGGTCTTACAGAGTAATTGCAAGTGCCACCTTATTGTTAAAAGGGTGAAATTGGCCCAAGTCAGAAGCAGTGCTTCCCTTGGCTATCTTCCTCTTCGCTACCCCTTCACTGGGAAATGCAGGCAGCATCCACTCCAGAATGAGAGCCCATTGAGGAGGTTGATGGGGCAGTCCAGGCTGCTGACAAAATGGCCACCATCAGTACAAAGGGCACTTGTAGATGCCAAAATATATTCATCTTGTCTTCCTTTCACATCGCTGATATCCTTCACAAGATATCCACTATCAAATTCAGTGATATCCTTCAAAGGACACTGGATAATACAGATGGCTCAATACAGGAATAATAAGAAAACGGGTAGTAGCACTAACAAAATGTCCGGAGGAGTGAGGTTCCTTCTCAGGTCCAAGATCAGCAGCTTCTCCTACTTCTAGGGTGTAATTGCAGCTCCCCAGCAGAAAAAGCGAGGGCTCTCTTCTTCAAAAAGGCAGCTCTCTTACAGAATCTTCTTGCATCAAAGTTTCATGTCTTCCATGTGGAGAGAAAAAGGTCTGGGGGAGGTCACAACTTCTCCGGAAGGAGCTTGTGCAAGGGGCAGATGTGCCATGGCACCTTGTTTGCTGAGACCAAGAATGGCAATAGAAAGAGGATGGAGATGGTTTCTCCGCCCTTTCTGGGCACCCCTCAGACTAGGGCCATGGAGGAGTCACCAACACTGTGTCTGGGATCCCAGGAGAGATAAATCCTGGGGGCAGCATGAGTAGCTGGGAGCAGGGGCAGGACCTACTGGCCAGCAAGACTCACAGAGGAAGGCCTGGGGCAGCTTTTGCCACTGGTGATGCCTGGAGGGCAGCAAAGCCAGGGGCTGGCAAATCTCTGTCCCTTGTGTGCACTCTGTCCTAGAGATTAGATTTGATTTGTCCTAGTTGTAGACATTTGCAGCAAATGTCTCTGCAGAGCGTTGGGGGCATCAAGGTGGGAGACTCTTCCTGAAGCGATCAATTCCTCCCACCAGCATGACAGCTCCCCAATTTCTACTCAGCTCTGAGGGAGCTGCAGCCCACTGACAGGTGGGAAGGGGCCTAAGGTCTGAAGCCCTTACAAAATAATTTGTTGCCCTAACAGATCTTTCCTTCTTCAGGCGACCCCTTAAAATGAAAAATCCCTCTGGATCTCTATGGCATCTAGGCTAGAGGTTTCGCATATTACTAGGGTGTAGCTAGCTTCTTTCTTCTTTGGAAAGCTTCTATAAAAATCAGACAGCAGGTCCGGTACTTAAAAATATTTTTTGCTTTATAAGTGTGTTCATATTTTAAGTTATTTTGGGCATTCGGAAAGGGAAATATTTTAGAACAGTAAATCCAATATTTTTGTTAGGGTCCTAGGCCTGTACTTTGATACCTAAATGGGCTTCCTGATTTTTGTAGCCTTGAGCACTCACCAATCCTATAAATCTCCCTGAGAGCTGCTGGTGCTGAGCACCTCAGACAGTAAGGCCACCTATTTACATACTTAATTTTAGGCATCAAGGATTGACAATTTAAGCTTAAAATGCTACATATCTCTGCATTATTGCACCCTCGGTTAAAAAGCAGTATGTTTAAGTTGTCTTAGTTGTTCTTTACGAACCCCAACTGCTCAGCCAGTGCAGCTAAAAAGCCAGCCACCAACAGCCATACAAGCTTGCCAGCATGCTGCCCACTGCGGATGAAAAACCCAGTGCTTCTGTCAAGGAGGCCTGTTACAAAGCCAGGCTGTTATTTATATGCTGCAGTTCCAGGATCGTGGTAAGCATCTGCAGTGCTCACCGCTCAGTATTCTGAAATTACTTTCTGAAACACTTTGCTTTTCAACTAGAACAAAAACGTGATTTGTTCTCACCTGGAAAAAAAAATCGACAAAAGAAAAAAGGAGGGAAGTAAAAGATTTACAAGTTCCTTCGCTTTTTATTAAAAAGAAAAAAATCAACAGCAAAAACTGCAAAACCCCCTCTTCCACTTTTAAGTAATGTGAAAACAAAACAAAAAGGATCCCAAGATCTCTGCTGGAAAACTTGTAAAAACAAGCAATCCAAGAAACCCCTATTAAGCATTTCCAAGAGTTTCTTTTTAGCCTTAGAATATATTTTATGGAAACCAGGAAAAATGGGGACACATACAATTCATCATGTCAGATTAAGCAAACATACTTAATATTCCCTGAACAAGACTCTGACTGAGGCTCTCCAAAGATTAAATGTCAATATTTTACTTTAAAAAATAAAATTTCAGGGAGTCTTGTAAATAGAACATAACTTGAGGTGATACTAGATTGTACTCTAGAAACACCTTATAGTTAGAGCAATCTTGATAAGCTGTGCTCTCTGACATTTGGAATAAACGATCTATTTTAAGTATTCTCAATAGTATTTCAAAAGCACAGACAAAAAAACATTTGGGAATGGAAAACAATAACCCCAACTACCCCTCTAGAAAAAGCAAAAAAAAAGAAAAAGCGTCTACACAACTGCGTAAAAACCCTGTGTATTTAAATACACTTCTAGCACTCAACTGTTAAAAAAATATAGACTAATGGGTTAGAAGTCAGGTTTAGGTGCTGAGCTGTTACAAAGAGTAGTTCACTTTGCATTTGGACAGTGTTAAAACAACGTTTTTAATGTGGATGCTAGTGCAGAAACCAGAGATTAAACACAAAGAGACACAGACAGCTACCACATGCAGGAAAACGAGGTTACAGGCACGGCAGCACCAGGCGCTCGCCCATCACCGCGGGGAGGAGGAAGGGACAGGCATAGCAACCACAAGCCCAAAAGCAGAAAAGCGCATACCTTCAGCTTGGAATGAAAATCACGAGATTTCCTTCTGGCAAGAACCTGAATGTGACTAGACACCTGCAGGGTAGGGGAAGGGAGGAAACAAAGGAAAAGCCTGTAACCATGGAGATGAAAAGCCCCCTACAACTGGGCAAGCCAAACGTACCTTAATGGCGGCTTGAATTTCTCGAACTTTCTTTCTTGCTAAGACCTGTATGTGACTAGACACCTACATTGTTCAGGTTTATAGGAAAAAAAAAAACAACAAACAAAAGAAAAACAAAAAGCAAATCAAATTTAAAATATCTATTTTTTTCTTTAAAAAAAAAAAAACTTTTCTGATGGGAGGAAGTTATTTGCATCTTCAGTAAGCTCTGCTGTTAAAGATACCACATTCCCAGCCAGAAACCAAGCTCTTAGCACGGAGGCTTAACAATACAGGTCATCACTGCAGTGACTTGATTAAGGTAAAAAAAAAAAAGAAAGAAAAAAAGAAAAAGTGTAACCCACCAGGCTGTGCATTCAGCTACAAGATAGAAGACACAGTTTGCAGTTGGACGCAGCCCATGTGCTTTGGTACTGATCCCATCCGTGGCCAGGCCCTGCGCTCTCACACTGTGAGCCGACAGGATTTTTACCCCATCTGCCAGAGATGCAGATGCCCACTCTGACCATTTGCCACTGGGCTTGAGACATAACTTGGCAGCGAGAAGTTTTAGCCATTATTTATTGTGTACTGCAGCTCCAGTGAGGAGCCTCCGGCTGCGTATTTACCCCACTGAAATGCTCTCAGTTCTGTAACAAACGATAAAACACTGGCATAAGACACCAAACCTGTGCTAGCTTCCTTGGTAATCTCAGCATCAAGTTTGCCCGCGAAACACTCACTTAAGTGGGGACCAGTAACTTGACATTGGCTTGAGTGGCATCCAGGTCTGGCCTACCATCATTACATTTTGGTACAAAATTTGTGTAAACCCAGCCCTGCACTGGACCAGTTATTGCTCAGCTGTTGTTGCCTGTGCAGTGAAGGGCCTGGGCCTAGGTTCACATTCCAATTTACTCAGGCATGTATTGAAATCCATGCTATTGATGATGAGGGTTTAATAATGCTGCTCAGCATCTCTTGGTAGTGCTCAGCATCCTGCAGCCCTCTGTGTGAAGGTTTAAAACCTGCAGTGGTGGTAAAAACTGCTAAAGAGAAATCTCTTATTCTTATCTGACCCAGGGCATACCATATCAAGTGTTGTACATTTTCATTAAGTTAGTTACGATTCCTGTCTGTGAAAGAACAAAGCAAAAGAAAAGGAGAAGCAAAGCTTGATTTCCTCCCTCTATAAGACTACTTCATAACAACAGTATCAAAAAGCCTGTATTTTTAGTAGGGAAGCAAACATTAATGCATAAATGAGCACAGCCCCTGAAGGCCACCTTCAGACACCTCTTCAGGAAGCAGCTCAGGAACCAGTATGCAGGAATTCAGAGTTACACTGTTGCTTACTAAGCAATTTTGTAGTCAAACACTTAGACCAAGTTTTCACACATGTTCATTTGTTTTGCTTTCAGTGGGATATTAGTGGTGTTAAAGGTTATACAGGAAGCACAACCATAATGTTTAATTGCTCAATTGAAATTCAGAAGTAGCAGCAATCAAACTTTGCTAAACAGTCTAAGGTGATTTATGTATGGCTATAGAGGGATGTACAATTATGGAGGCATAATGTCACCGTATGTAAACCATCACAGCCCTCTTGGTTTTACCGCAGCTCTACCAGCACATACTGGCCAAGGATCTAGTCCCAAGGTCTGCATTTTGACTGCTGATGTGATTTTAAGACCCCAGTGTAACTCCTGACTACTGGAGCTTGCATGGGCATAGCAGGGAAGAACTTGGGACTTCATCTTTTGTTTCAGATGTCTCTGCCAATCTTTTGTTTGTTCTTTCTCCACATCCTGCAGCTTCCCTCCCTTCTCCTGTCTTTTTTCATCCTTTGTACATACGTTTCCTTCCTAACTGACAAAGGACACCACCCAGGGCAAAATATCACCCAGTCCAAAGTGCTTTAAATCCGAGTGCTGGCCCAGGCCATCTTTGTGTGTGCTGACTCAGCGTCACCTTTCCCTGCATTACCAAACACGCAGAGCAAGCAAGCATAGGAGCCTCTGCCTTCCCCTTCGTCACGCACGTGGATAGGGAGAAGGGGAGTCTCGCACTTGACGTTAGAGAAAGTGAGGGGACTTTGTGATTTGCGAAGCATTTTGAAACAGCGCGAGGGTTTAGTAACCACCGCATGAATGACACAGAGCATGTGCCGTCTGTGAGGCTGCTGATCATTGTGGGTATTATAACTTAAAGGATTTAGTCACATGAGATAAGTTAATGGTTATGTGATAATCATCTGAAAAAGACTTAAGACTGGTTAGAGGTTTATTCTGACTCTTTGATGAATGAAATCTTACCGTGGTCACAGACCAGCAGCCTGAGGGCTCTAAGGTGAATTTTTTATTATTTTTTCATCCCGCAGCAAGTACTGAGCTGAGAGCATGATTAGGATCAGTCCTGCTAGATAGTTTTTATTTATTTACCTCTCATATCCAAGGATCATAATTGCTATTATATAGGTGAATTGGCTGGACTTTCAGAAGTTCCATTATTCACCATCTCAAAATAATTCTGTAGTTGTCCTTACAGAGAAATAAGGCACAATTGCTTTATGCTTCTGCTTCAACTTTTGGTTGTGTTGGTTTTTTTTTTTTCCCCCCAAATACAGGGGATAATAGCATCATGTACACAAAGGTTAAAAAAAAAATGCATCCTCAAACCGCCACTGAAATGATGCACAACATAAAAAACCCCAGAGTTTTAAATATTTTCTAAACAGTGTGTATTTAATCTGAACAGTGAAGTCAATACATCATCTCATCAGAGCTGAAGCACAGACAGCCACTGCAGCCAAAAATGCCATGTTTTGTCATTCACTGACATGCATACTTCCCCACTGGGTTATTTTACCTGCTTCCTGGTCCGTGTCTTCCCTGTTCTAAGTTTGATGTATCTGGCTATCAATTCATTCCTACCTGAAACAAAGAAAAATTCATGATAAGGGACAAGCAGTACCACATCCACAAAGACCATTAAAACCCCACATTTCAACATGAGCTCCATGCTTATACAGCTTAAGTTTTCTTACACCTACTCCACTTTTCCTTTGCAAACTATTTATCAATATTTCTCATTGTTCATCAGCATTTCTCTTCCCTCTCCTTAACAGACACCATATGTGCCACAAGAACTATGCAGAGGGCTATGGGTTCAGTGTTTTCCTACTGAAGTCCTGCAGCTGTTGGCAGACAGAGAGGCACCTCCTCGGTCAGTGGTGGTGCCCAGGATGGTCTCTGGCTGGAGAGCACCCCCATCCGGGGGGCTGACACAAGGTCTGGGCTCCTCTGGTTTTGCTCCTGACTGTGCTGGGTGGACCATGGCCCACTTGGACCCCTGCTGGGAGGAGCAGCTGCTCTTGGAAGGACGTGTGCCACCAGAGCCAAAGCGCCAGTCACCCGGATGTTGTGGTTCCGCATTAGCTTTTCTCCAAGTTTTAATTCTGCGAAGGGGACAGCAAAATCTATCCTTCCTGCCAGGAAGCACTCTGCCCCCTCCACTGAAGGAAATCACCGTCCCAGTTCAGCAGGGTATCACTCACACCCATAACTCTACGCACAAGGGTGGTCACCCTGCGGTGCCTAAGTTACTGCTGCAGTGGGGCCAATCAACACGATAGTTTGTTATTTAGAGATCTACTTCTCTTGAAAATGCAGAGGATTTCCAAGTTTCTAAAATGGCTATTTGACTCTTCTTCAGTCATGCATTATGCTACCTAATACAAACTAACATTTTCTTTCCAAATAATTTCCTTCCTAAATATTGCTGACATGGAAGATAACAGACTTTTATGTGGTTCCCTGTTTATTTTCACTGCCTATTACATTACTTCTCCATGAGTTGTAGTAACTTAAATATACTTGTTCAACAAGTCCTAAGTTATGGAGTTATTTGCATTCAGCACAGGGGATAAGCAGCCGGTGTGCAGAAAATGAGAAAAGTGATTTAGCAGCAAGCTGAAAACAGGAAGGTTAAGAAAATAACTTATCATCCACCAAGTTATTTTGAAGTGGATGAGTACATAGCTGGGGAGTGCAGAAAGCTATTATATCAGCCAGGAACTCAAACTCTTTGAGTTTAATGTCGTGGGGGAGAGATGGGGAAGCTTTGAAGTAGCCTGCCTAGGTCTGAAGGGCATTTTGTTGACTGGAAGATTGAACACCATTAGTCAAACTAGACCTTCATTTTACCTTTTTCTTCTGCCTCCCCCTCTGAGCCTTATTTACACCCTTTCTATCAGATGTCTCATAGTTCCTGTCTCTTCCATACTTCATTTGCTAAATGGGTACTAGAATATGAAATATCAACGTGCTGCAGAGCAGAGCTATGTTTTTTCCAAGTCTCCTTTTCTTTTGGTCTGGACTGTGTGCCAAGTTTCCTGCAACGTGCCACTGTAATGACAACATGAGGTTTGTAACTCTTCAGCAGGTCTCCCCAGGACAAACTTCAAGACGTAAATCTTGTGTGAGCAGTTATGTAAACAAGCAACGTTTCTGCACACAAATGAGGGATTTCCGTACGCAAACAGAGGAGCAGCTAGCTACCTAATTTCATGCAAAGACCTTGTCTTCTGGCTGGACAGAAGTTCTGCAGCCTGTTGTGCCCACAAGGTACAGTGAACAAGAGGCTTTGTGTTCATGGGGTGAAAGAAGGGAATGCTCAGCCTCTGTATCTCTCTATTCTCATGTTCTTTCTCATAATCCAAACAGTCCACTTCAAATACGGAGAATTAGTTTTCATAGTGGTGGCTGTCCTCCTATATCCTTATGCTGTAACAGCAGCTACCTCACAGTGACAGGACTGCAAATCCACTTGCAGATGTTGGGCATTGACAGAAATGGAGCTGCACTATTCTTCATTACTAGTAGACAAAAAAGCTCTACAGTGGAAAAACCATACAGTTTGGGAAAAGGAACTGACAGAGAGGTCAAGAGCCTGAGGCCACAGCAATGAGACTGGACAAGAAAAGGTCTATAACAATAGCACATAATACTAAAAGTGTTTCAGACAAGAGTTTGCCAAAACCTTCTTGATTGGTACTTTTTATGCCTCTGCTGTGTCCCTTTAATGAGTACTAGGCTAGCAGACAGCAAAAAGGTGCACAAAAATTTAAACAGAAAGATGCATTTCACCACCTGCCAATGAGGAACCCACAGGGGTGGTAGCCTACAAGAGCAGCCCTCTGCGATCTGGTGAGATTCAGAGATCACCATATTCCTGCAATCACCAGTATGATAGGTGGTATGAACATCTTCATATTTCTAAATGCACATTTTTATTTAACTGGGGAATGTCCCCCCTCCAGAAAGTACCTTCTTCACGTATCTGTAAGTATCTGCATACAGTAAGCACCCAGAATAGTTTTTTTGGTGCAAAAACCATTGTCAGGTTGTCCTTAGCAGCAGCCGGTGACTCTGTAAGGTCAACGACTCTATAAGGTGGTGTAAAGGATGCATCGCCATCTCTTGTCCCTCCATGTGTACTGAAGATGTTTCAGACAGCACAGGTCGCTCCAGCCATCCCTTGCCCGTTAAGGCAGCCCTATGCAGCCCTCAGCTGTATCTGAGGAAGGAAGAGTTAAACCTTCGCATGGTTTCACAGTTTTCTTCCCAGTCAAGAGAGCTAAAAAACTGTTTTTAAAGGAAAGCTCAGATTCCCAGGCAGCCACTTGACAGAAAAAGTAGCTTTACAAAAAATCCCCAAGCACTGAAAGTCTAGACTGTATTATTCAAGATACCAGTTGAGTGCTGTCACCAGTTGAGCCCCAGTCCATCCATGAGTGCTTTGGCTTGAATCAAGGAGGGGTTTCTCTAGCTGCTATGTAACCAGGCAGGGATATGACTAACAAGACTGTGGTTTTGCAAAGTGATTGCTTCCCCTCAAGGTGAAGCCTAGCTTGAGAAGAGTCAGCAGGGTGGGATAATTTGACTTAACCTACAAGGAGGAGGAACCATGCAAAACGGCCGAGGCAATAGCCTTGCATTTTCCTTACAGCCGTATTTTCAACACAGCAAAGAAACATGCAGCAGGTTTAGCCGGAGCAGGAGATGCTGTAGTCTTACGAGGCTCACTAAATACCTTCTGCAAAGCCACAATGATCTGAGAAGACACAACTTCTTTTTTGGACTACCAACAAGCCATAAACACAAACATAAGCACTGCCTGACATATACAAGATAGACATCCCTGACTAAAAGTTTACAGCCTTTATGTTTTCTAGCAAAACCTGGTGCTCTTCTTTACCAACTCTGACAGATACTAACAGAAAATGCCTTATCTCCTGATCAACTAAGGCCCAAAGAAGATTTTAAAGGAAGGCTTAATAATCCTAAAAACACCATTTCTTGGTTTTGGGAATGAGAAGAGTCTGAAACAAAAGGAGGCTCAAGGAACTTCTTTAATTGGCCATTAGAAACCTTAGGGTGAAATATGCTCATTAATAAATAGATCTGTTATTCTCTACGAAGAGCTCAGCTGTGGAAATACTTTCCATACACGCCCTCTCTCTCTCTCCTTGTCATATATATATATGGGAAATTGCCTGAAAGAAGAGCAGAGGTCAGGCTTATGAACTGTAAATGTTCATATCCTTCTTCTTGTCATCCGGTATGACAGTCTCCTACTTTGAATGCTTTGGTTCAGGTATCAAAAGAAAGGCATGGGGAGGTGCCCAGGTTGGATAAAACATCTTCACAGCGATCTTTTCCAAGGATCTTGAAAAGATCAGGAAAGGACCACAACAAATATTTTATATCACTGCCTTCTTTTGGCTTTTTTCCCCCCTTTTAAATTCAGGCTTTATCTGTCATGCCCTTCTGTACTGTCAGTGCAACTGCAAATGATAGTCTTCTCTGGACTGATGCTGAGGAAGAGGCATTTTACACAACAGAACATATTTTTCAATCATGGCAGAAAGTAATAAGGGGCTTCAGCTAGAAAACAGTGCAGATGCTAGAAAAACTGCAAGGCTTCGCAGGGTGCCAAAGCCTCAATGTGGCCCCTCCAGGGGAACGGCTGAGCCTCAGAGCAGCCCTGCTCCTGCCAGCCAGTGGGACACAGGCTCCATCCGCCTTCCCAAATGACTGCTCCATTCCCGAGGAGCACCACTCTAAACAAGGGAGTGCGCGGTGATCCTACACACCTCACAGGCAGCAAGGAAGGCTGACATTTCTGCTCTTCTTGTTCAAAATAAGTAGAAGCAGCTGCAAAGTGGGGAGGCTCCCACCCACCTCTCCGCTGCGGAGGCAGTTGTTGCTTTCACAGAGGGCCCTTGTGTGAGGAAGCCTCCCCCTCCAACGTTATTTCCAAACCCAGACTGAAGCAGCCAAGCACCAGCTTCCACTAAGGTCTCCATGAGGCTCTCGAGTGCCACCCTTGGTGCTGAGAGTGGGTTTGGTTCCACTCACCAGCACGGGCAAGGCCCTTGGAGGTGAAAATCCCCCCCTGGGTGAGGAGGGCATAACCAGCAATCCCTTCATGGGCCAAAAACTGCATCACCATCTCTGCATAGGAGCCACCAGACCACCATAGGCAGCTCTACCAGGATCTGCACGAGCTGGGGACATGCCCCAAGTCACACCAGGTTCTGGCCTGCTCAAACCTGGTCACCGCCAGCAGCGGTGCAGTGAGCCGGTGCATCACGTCCCTGCGGAGCCACCAGCTATGCAGCGGGCTGGCGTCTTTATTTAGAACCTTAATGACACAAATTAAACCTCCGCCCTCCCAGCTCCCAGTAATAGGCACCGTCCGAATGTGATAAAAATAGGCAAGTGTGGGAAATCAAGCCAGTAAGCAATTTGAAAATGAACAGCTAATTTTAAAAAGTTTTTATACTCAGCAAAATAATTCAAGTAATGACCAAGTAGAAAAGCCTATTCTTTTCAGATAATGGTGCACTATGAATTTGTCCTAATTCTAC